CCGCGGCCCGGCGCTCTCATTCAAGCCGCCGTCCCTTCGCCAACCCCACGCGGTCCTGGCTCCGCGCCGCAACACCCCCTCTCCTCCGTCCGCGCCGGGTCTCCGCGAGCAGACCAGACCCCCGCCACCCCAGCGCGCGGTTACGCGAGCGGGAAGGCAGCGCCCCTTACCTGAGCTCCCCCGGGTTGAATCGCTCACCGTCCCCCCCGTCCCCGCCACGCTCCGCCATTACAGAGGGCCGCGTTCCTCCACCCGCCGACTCGGCGTTCCCGATTGGTCGAAAGGATCGTCAATCCCAAGCGAGAGAGGCGGAGATAGCAGAGGCGTGTGATGTGATTCGTGAGACTTCCCATCAATCCTGGCGTTAGGGGCGGTACCTGCTTTACTCTTGGTCAAAGGGCCCGCCGACTTTGAAAGCGGTATTGAGACTGTCCGTTGATTGGTCACGCAAGAGGCTTCTGGGAAATGAGACTTTAGCAACGAAGAACAGCCTGCGCCCCTAGCGGTAAGGAAAACAAGGTCCTCCTGCGTTCGGCCCGGCCTGCAGTAGCCACGTGTCTGCCGGTTTCCAGGAGCTAGTTGTGTAGCCATATTGGCCACTAGCGGCTCAGGCCGAGAAGATATTCATTGAATGAGCCAATCAAAATAGACTCAGGTCTAGCGTAAACCAATCACAGAGTTGCTGTGGAAACAGGTTTTCCTCGCTTTCCAGTAAACAAGAGCCTGAAGTCACCAGCACTCGGCCGTGTGAACATGTTATTAAATATTATGAATTACAGGCATACTGCCCAATTATACTAAATAGTTTCGTGCTGATGAATATTATAGAAGTTGCTTACATTAGAAAAAATTAATTTGCCGGGCGTGGTTGCAACACCTATAATCTTAGAACTGTGGAAGACAGAAAGAAATTCAAGCAGAAAGAAGTTTGAGCCCCAGCCTGGGGAGTTTAGTGATTTAGTGAGACCTTGTCTCAAAATAAAAAATAAATGAAGGCTGGGGATGTAGCTCAGTTCAAAGGCCCTGTACCAATAAAATAAATAAATAAGAGAAGCCAAGCCTGTTTGAAATTTATGTCTTGGATTTTTCCTTCAAACTCAAAATGCACCTCTCTAGAATCAGCCCAGCCTGACATCAGAAGACGACCACTATCACTGTATGGAGTTTTGGGAGGTTTTTTTTGTTGTCTTTTTTTTTGTTGTTGTTTTTGAGACAGGGTCTCCCTGTGCAGTTCAGGCTGCCCTTGAGCTTACTTTGTAGCCCAGGCTGGCCTCGAACTCACAAGGATCCTCCTGCCTCAGCCTCCCGAATGCTGGGATTACAGGCCTGTGCCACCACGCCCTGTTTGGAGTTTCTTTTTGAATAACGAAGATGTTCTGGAATTAGTGGTGAAGATTGCACACTTTATAAGTATATTAAAAGCCATTAAATTGTAACAAATACCATCCTTGCCCAACTGATAATGTTATACACAACCCCCAAATTAGTATATCAAAATGAGATAGAGAATTTTAGCTTAAAATTAATTAATACATTAAGAATTAAATCCTACTATGAAAATAATTTTTAGAAGTGACTTAGGGGAAATAATTTGGATGCAAAATCAGGCTTTTAAAAAAAACTACCATCTTTTGATACCTATCTTAAATCCACGGTAGGTACTTTATATATATTATTTCTACTCCTCTGCAAGGCAAATGTGTTGCCCTCATTTTACAGATGGGGAAACTGAGACTTGAGGAGATCACAGGACTAGTGCGGTGACATTCACAGAGCTGATTAAGAGGGAAAACGAAGCTTCAACTCCCAGCGTGTTTCTCACAGCAAAGCTAGTCATGGACCAGTAAGCCCCAAGCCTTATCCAAATCAGATAGCTACAGTAGCATGGCTGATGCATCTCCCTTGCTCTCATCTAGACTGAACTTTTAAAAAAGGCTTTTTCATGCTGAAACACCAGCTCCTAATAAAGTGTCCCTTCACCCACTAGAGCAGCACTGTCTTCTGTACTGTGGAACAGTGTTCCTGACTGGGAGCATTGGTTTTTGAAACACCTAGAGAGATCTCAGAAATGCAGTGTCGACCTGGATACCCCTGCTAGCTGCCTCACAGTCGTTCTGGGTAGCACAGGTTTTAAGTGAATTAGGTCAGCATTCTAGCTGTGGTTCTACCAACTACTGTCTATATAATCTGAGGCTACTTAGCTACTTAGCATCTCATAGCTTCTTTAGAAAACGAAGAATTATTGCCAGGCCTTATAAGTAAGCTATTTGCCACAGAATAGGCAGTGACTGGATATCACTGATAAGTAACATTTGTTTACAGAGTGGAGTTGGGATTGCTGTGACCTAAGGGTTTACATCACCCCCAATAGTCACAGGTAGAATCCGTACCCTGCAGGTGAAGAGATGGGGTGTGTGGGTGGTAATTAGGTCACAGGTAAGGCGCTCAGAAGGGAGAGAAATGCCCCAATAAGGTGAGGTACAAGAGAGAACCTTCACCCCATCCTGCTGCGTGAAACCAGAAGAAGAAGGTTGTGTGTGACAAAGTCCATCCTCAGTGGATACCAGATCTTCCTGTACCTTGATCTTGGGTTCCCAGCCTTTACGACTGTGAGAAATAAATGTCTGTTGTTTAAAAGCCACTTGGTCTGTGGTGTTTTGCTATAGCAGTCCGGGGCACCAAGGTGGAGCATTTTGTTAGCTAATTATGCAAAAAGCCAACAACAATCATTTCCTATGCACTAGGCACTGTTTGAAGCACTTTCAATGGATGAACACATTTGAGCCTTTATAAAAACCCTGTGAGGTAAGTTGCATTACTGTTTCACTTTACAGCTAACATAGGCACAGAGAGATTAATGCACCCCAAGTCACACAGAGCATGAGTTGCAAAATGAACTCAAACCTAGGCCTTCAGGCTACAGAGTCCTCCTGCATAATCAGTGTGCTCCACTTCCACTCTGCAGAGTTCAGTCTTCCTGTGCGGTCATTCTGTTCACCTGTCTGATGGCAGCAGGCAGTACTTCACTAGGCGACCTCTCCATTGTATCTCCCTTTCTCACTTCACTGGACTGTGACCTTATGGAATTTAGAACACGAGGTTTCTCCTCCCACCCCATAATATCCATTGGCTTTGAAAATGTGAGAGGACTCATACAACACTGTTGTGTGTTCACCCTTTGGGGAGGATCAGCCCCATGGGCCGCCTGAATGGGGCTGAGACTGCCTGAATGGAAGTAAATGCAGCTTTATGAGCTCGTGGAATCCAAAGATACTCTTTCTAGTAACACGCAGGTGTTAGGAATACCATAAAGCAAAGTTTTAGTGTGATACCTCCCCATGTGTGCACACATTGTTTTTTTACTCTATAGAGGGCAAAATGTTTAATCATGATGCCAACATTAAGACAAGATCATTTTTGGTTACAAGGAAAAGAATCCCGAATTAGCGCCAGGGCAAATGAGTATCTGGTGAAGGAAACAGAACTCAGGAAATGTGTGGCGTGGAAGATTAGCTGACCTGTGCTTCACAGACACGGGAAGCCTGCATGAGGTAAAACCTCTCAGGTCGAGGGACCTGGGCCCCGCGGCAAGTGGCGGCACGGTGAAGAAAGAGACACTGGAGACCAGGCTGATGGCGCAGATCTACTTTATTGCGGAAGTCCCAGGCGTTTTATAGAGCAGGCTAGGGGCGTGGCAAAAGGGGGCATGATCATCGAGGGGAGGCACCGAGGTAGGGGCAGAGTGGGACAGCCCGGGCGGGGAGACTCACTCGGTCTGCCGAGGACATAACAAGTCCAAGTCTGCTTAGACTCGTTCCTCTGCCACGGCTGTCAACCAAAACTCTGGGCCCTTATTTCCCACAGCTGCAGGCTTGGAGCAGGCTTCTAGAGTTCATGATTGATTCAGGGTTCAATCTGGGATTCTGGGTGTGAATGCTGCACCGGCCCTAGGGCAGTAAACCTGAATACAATATAAGGGAGGGAAAGAGGCTTGCTCTCTCCTCTCATTTTGTTCTTGCTGCTTTTGTTGTCTTCTGCAGCCATGAACTGTTTCCTTCTGCCATGTGCCACCCTACCCTGGAGCCAGCCTAGTATGGAAACCTCCACAAACTGTGAACTAAATAAACCTGTCCTTCCTTAATTCTGGGCGTCTGGTATTTTGTCTCAGCAATGAGAGAAAAGTAACCAAGACAATCCTCTGCCTTTCCTTCACAGCCTATATGGGTTCTCCTCTCTTCATCTTTGCCTGTTTGCTTGATCCTCCCCTTCCTGAAAACCTACTCCCTTCACTCACAGACCCTCCTGATAGGTAGAAAGAGAATCCCAGCACTTGGGAGGCTGAGGCAGGAGGATTGTTGCAAGTTCTAGACCAGCCCAGGCTACAAAGTGAGCTCAAGTCCAGCCTGAACTGCATAGCAAGACCCTGTCTCAAAAAAACAAAAAAGGGGCTGAGGATTTAGCTCACCGACACAGCACCTGCATGGCAAGCACAAGGTTGTGAGTTCAATTCCCGGTACTGAAAAACAACCACAACAACAACAAAAAAAAAAAAAAAAAAGAAAGAAAGAAAGAAAACATTTGACTTGCCTCACTGTCTAGGGTCTACACATCACCACCAAATCTCTGCTTATCTATGGGCACCCAGAGCTGATCAAGTAGCCAGCATGTTAGCTCACGTTGATTTGCATGTCATCCTGTGCCAATTTTATGTAGCCAGCACAAGGTCACAGAGCAGAGCAGTGCTGACCTTTTCAGAGTGAGTCAAGAGAGGCAATGGGTCGTGTCTTCCATAACTTCCGCTGCGTGACTCAGCTCTTCCTCCAGATGAACTTCCATTTGGTTCCTTGTGTTGTAGCCAATTAAGCATCTGAACACCCCTCTCTGAAACCCTTTTAATGGGCTTTCATTGCTCCATAGGGCAAAAATAGACTTTTGACAGAGTCTTGCTAGCCCTCCACACCCACACTGCTTCATCTTTCTGCATTGTGTTCAACTTCGAATCATAGTTGGTTTCTTTCAATTCCTCCAAGATACCCACTATCCCCACCTCATATGCCTAGTGCCTGTGTTTTCCCTCTGCCTGTAGTGCTCTTTCACCCAAATAATCCTTCTCTGTCTGAATTAGATATCTTTCTCCGAATCAAGGATCACCTCCAAACTTAGCAGCTTTTAAAGCAACAAAATTTGCTATCTCACACCTTCCATGGGTCAGGAGTCCTGGCGCATCCTCAGTGGCTCTAGCTCAAGGTCTCTCAGCACTAGGCTGTCAAGGGGGTTGAAGCGACACCTAAAGTGGAAAGATTTGCTTGCAAGTTTACTCACCTGGTTGTGGACGAGTGTCAGTGCCTTACAGGTTAATAAATGTTCGTTCCAGGTGAACACCTTGGAAGGTGTGATGATAACTGGCAGCGGCCTTGTCTCAGTATAAGCAATGAAAGAGAGGAAAGCAGACACATATCTATGACCCCAGCAGTCTGGGAGGCTGAGGCAGCAGGGTTACAAGTTCAAACTAGCCTGGGAAGCTTAGCAACTTAGCAAAACCTTGTCTCAAGGTGTAGAAAGGCCGTAGGTATAGTTCAGTGTAAAGGCCTGGGTTCAATCCTTGGGGCAGGAGGAGAGAGAGAAAGAAAGAGCCCAAGGTAATATCCTTCACTTCTACCCACAGTTTACTGATTAGAAGCAAGTGGGTACATCTAGACTGCAAGGGGAGGGTGTTCACAATGGCTGATATCAGCAGGCAGCAATCACCAGGGCCCCTTACTTACCACGCTGCCTTTCACATCTTAGTGTACATGTTAGTTCTTCTGGTACCTTCTTCAGAGAGAAAAATCTGACCTCCTGACATAGGCACATAGGTCGTTTACCATTATATTCTTCTCCTATAGCCTCCTACAGGTCTTTGTACCATCCCAACAATTTGTTACTCCATAGTATAACACTAAAAATTGTGTTCATGATATCTTACATATTTTATCTTATTTTTTCCTGCCAACTTATTTTTTTTTTTAGTGCTAATGTGCATCATAGCATTATACCCCTGT